GAAAAGAAAAAGAAAAAGAAAAAAAATGTGGAAGTATACAAAAGAATTAAACCAAAGCAAGATCAAAATCCAGCAGTGTAAAGTGTTTGTAAATGGGCAGGGGAGGAGAGGGTGAAGGGAGGGCAGGGACAAGGGGAAAAAATGAGAATCAAGACCTATCATGTAAAGGTACTGGATCCCAATAATGAATGTAACTGTATTGTATACCTAGATTGTACCAATAAACTCAATAAAAAGAATTTTAAAAATCCAGCAGAGCAAACACTAATAACTATAAATCTATGTATAGCTTCGGTGCACATGTTAATGAGACATGACTCAATGGCCACACCTCTATGGCCTACCACTTGCAGTAGCCCATATAGCCCCTCTCTTGGGCTGGCTCTGCTCACATCCCACAGTGTTCATTGGCAGGTGTTCTATATTCCTGGAATCAATAACATTCTATGCCTATACGGCACCTTCAGCCTCATTTCTTACAGCCTTATACAATGCCAAAGCAGAGGCTTCTTGTCTGGTCTTCTATGACTTCCGTGTCTTATAAGACCAATGTGTCAACTTGATGGGATGAAAAAATGACAAGAGTATTAGTAAAACACATTATGTGTGTCTGGGTGGATAATGGAGGCGTGACCTTTTCTGCTACACATGGTTCATAGCCCTTGTCCTCTCTTGCACTATACTCTGATCTGCTTCCTGGATGCCATGAACTAAGCATCTTTGCTCTGCCACAAACTTCTGCAATGGCATTTCCACCTGGAGCCAGCTAACCATGGACTGAATACCTTGAAAATGTGAGCCAAAATGAACCTCTCCTCCTTTAAGGAGTAGCTGCTGGACACTATATCCAAGTGATGGGAATAGTGACTACTACACCTTCTTTGAAGTCTGAGTGGAAGCCTCTGGAACCCACAAAACTTGCCTTCTACACACTATGCTGTTTTTACCAGCATCGCTTTACAGATGCCAAAGTCTGCAGCCATGGGAAGCAGTAGCCAGACCTCCTCAGACCGTGAGTGCAGCACCCTCTGAAGTAAATGGACGGCTGAGCACGATGGAATAAATTCTGCCTTACTAAGAGAAAGAAGTCGAGGACCATATGTAGTGCCCAAGGTAAAGTTTCCTTGCCCAGCCAAAATGAATTCAAAATTGTGCCTCATGAATCTTTTGGGTGTTTCTAAATCCAGTCAATCAAGTTTGCATATCACAACTAACAGTCATGGGATCTGAACTGACATTTCTGCAAACATATACAAATGGTCAACAGGGCACATCCCTTATGCAAAGGTGCTCAACATCACTTAATAATCAGTAAAGCGCAACTGAAATCCACAATGAGCTCTCACCCCACACCGATCCCCAATAGTGATTCTCACAGTAATGGGTATTAAGGCTTTAAAAATGTAACAAGTGTTAATGAGGCTGTCGAGGAAAGGGAACTCTCATACAATTTGGGTTGGACTGTAATTAGCTAATATGAAGAACAGTATGGAGGTGGCCCTAAAGATAAAAAGTAGAGCTACCATTGTCTTCCAGGGATCCCACTTTTGGTTTTACATCTAAGAGAACTAAAAATATGATCAGATCTCATCTGCATCTCTGTTCATGGCAGCACTATTCATAATTACCCCTGTAAGACCAAACCAAATGTTGATTGATTTGTAGAAATAGAAAAAGATAAATGTGGTACATACAGTTGAATCTGCCTCAGCTTTTAAAAATAATGGAATTCTCTTATTTTAGGTAAGTTGGGTAGAAATACGGAGCCCTAAATTAAGTGAAATAAGCAAGGTACAAAAAGAAAAATATTATATAATATCACTTATATTTTTAATCAATTAAAAATTTTGGAAGGAGAGAGTAGAATGATGTTGGCCAAGGATGTTGGTGATGGTAAATGGACTAATGGTACAATGTGTAGTTTAATGATCTAGTTTATACCACAGTGCTTATAGCTAAGAACACTCTATTGTATACTTAAAACATGCTCAGAAGGTTTTAAGTAAAGTTGTCAGGACAAGAATGGAGAAAATTGGGGCAAAGGAAATTCAGAAAGGCAATGGATATGTTTCTGGACTTGGTAATAGTAATGGTTCAACATGTGTACACTTATCTCTAAAGTCACAGAGACATACACAGGACAATATATATGAGTTTTCATTGTCAACCATAACTTCTGCTGAAGGACATATAGGCTGCTTCCAAGAGTTAGCAATTACAAATGGTACTGTTATAAATATAAGCATCCAGGAGGGCAGGGACAAGGGGAAAAAATGAGAACCAAGACCTGTCATGTAAAGGTACAAGATCCCAATGATGAATGTAACTGTACTGTATACCTAGAATGTACCAATAAACTCAATGAGAGAAAAAAATTAAAATATAAGTATCTATGTAACAAGGTGATATGATGACTTTAATTCTTTTGGAAAAGACACCTAGAAGGGACACAGCTGGATCAAAGGAAATTTCCAGTTTTCATTTTCTCAGAAATTTTTATTTGATTTCCATAAGTCTGTAATAGTCTCCATTCCCACCAACAGCATAAAATGCTTCCTTTTACCTCACGGCCTCGCCAGCCTTTGTTATCATTTGATTTCTTGATGAAAGCCATTCTCTGTAGAATATGATGGAATCTCAGAGTTGTTAATTTGCATTTATGTAATGGCCAATGATGGCGAACATTTTTTCATGTATCTGTCAGTCGTTTGTACTGCTTTAGAGAAGTATCCACTTCTCTTGCCTATTTTTCCTTGGGTGTTTTATTTTGAAGAGTCTAATTTTGTTTATATATTGTAGACTGAAGTTCCATGAGAAACAGTTTGAATTATTTTCATTCTGTAAGTTATCTCTTCATTCTGTCGGTTGTTGTCCTTGCTATACAGAAGCTTTTTTATTTGATGAGGTCCCATCTGTTGATTCTTGCTATTTCTCATGCTATTATGGTTATACTCAGAAAGTCCTTACTGGCGCCTATGTCTTCAAGAGTGAAGGGTGTGCTGAAGCAAAACTTTTCACTTCGTGTCAGCTGGGAAGCAGTACAGGGCAATAGCATCAATAAGCAAGAGGGACCGGGGACCAGACACAGTATGCATGTCAATGGCTCCATCACTTGCCCAGATACAACAAGAAGTGAGCTCTTCTAATTTCCTCAGCAAACATCAGGCCAATCATTTTCACCATTCAACTTAACCATCACATTTCACCTGTTGTCAAGCTGACCGATGAACACGTACCCTTAAAGCCCACTTAACCTTCAGATAACAACATGCTCATCATTCCACCTGACATAATATAACCATGTTGCCACTCTTCCAAAGGACCTCAACATCCAATAATGCTCAAAACACCAAGCCCAAAGTCTCCTCGGAGACTTAATGCAATCTCTTATTTGAAAAAAACCTGAGAATTTTAAATGTAAGTTGCATGATCTCAACACACAATAACATGTGTGAAACTTTGCATTTCAAAAGAAGAAAATGAAAAGAAAAGCATATGACCAATGCAAGACTGAAATCCAGCAAATAGTAATCAACTTTCTTGTTCAGCACTGGGGGCTGAATATGGTGAGAAGTGAGTTCCAGAATGCTTGGGTGCTGTCTTTTCTAAGGACTCAAGAAGCACACATGTCCCTCCCATGAGGTTGAATCTGCTCACTGCTTGCAGCTATTCATGGTAAAAATTCCATGCCACTGGCATCTATGACTTTGTGGGATTTCCATGACAACTTCAAACTTCTTACCATCAGTACACTAACTTGCCTTTAAGGAGTAAACAGACCAACCTGACAGACTTTTTTTAAAGAAATCTGACTGGAATCCCCTGCTATCTCACAACACTTGTGTGCTTCATATAAGTGGAACAGCATCACATGGTATCTTATTAATTTTCACACTGGTTGTAAAAACACTCAAAACAGCAATCATAGGAAGAAAGGTTTATTTTTAAGTTCACAGTTTGTAGGATTTTTCAGTCTATAGTTGGCAGACTTCAAGCCAGGTTGACATGGCAGGAAGGCATATCAGAGGAGGGTGGCTTATGCCATGGCAGTGAGAAACAGAAAGGTAGGAGGGATAAATACATTCCAGGTTATGTCCACAGTGCCCCTTAACTTGAAACCAGGCTTTGCCTCCTACCACCACACCTCACTAGAAACCCGGAAGTGGACTAATACAGGAGTACACAACCAGAATCTAGTATCACACACCCATAATCGAGTCACTCCCAAAAGCCCCCCCACTACAAGTGCATGAGGCCAAGCAGTAGACACACCACTCAGAACTCTGATGCCAGGCCTCTGAGTACATAGATTAATGGCTGAGAACACCAGAATGAATAGTATTGAACTAATTCCCTACATGGTCTTAATCAATCAGGGGACCCATTGGCTCTGTTCTTGAACGCACACTTTTGCCCCTTGAGAGTTTGACATATGATGTTTTTATGATGCCTGAGATCAATTTGATGCATCTTTCTTCTTGTTTCAGTTCGAAGTACTTCCTTTATTGGCAGTAATTTCTTCGGTACTAGAAATACCTTGGCCCAAAATTGAAATATGTGCTCCCAAATTTAAGTTTTTAAATCTTTCTGTTCTAGTTTTTAGTCCCCATTCTCACTATAAATCTGAATAAAAACAACCAGAACTGACCATATCACAACCTGGATATTGGGCTGTCTTAACATTTCCACCACTAGAAGTGTTAGTAGAACGCTTTTTTTTTTTTTACAGAGTAGGAAAAATTTATAGAGGGGAAGAAAGCTCCTGTCTAAGAGAGACAGAAGGGGGACCAGAAAGTGGGTTCCCTGCTCTAGTATGCCTTTAAATACAGCCTTCCAACAAGATCTCAGAACACTGGGAAAATTAATATAACTTTTTTCATCCTTGCCTCTGCTTGCGGGCTGGCGCACCTCATGCCATTAATCCCTCACCTCCGGACCAACCTAGCCTTCCTGCTGACTGGGAAAAGGAACAACAGGAACTCATGCCATTAATCCCTCCCCTCCGGACCAACCTAGCCTTCCTGCTGACTGGGAAAAGGAACAACAGGAAGGTAAGGAGCCCTTGGCCAAAACCCAACACGCAGTGATTCTTTGCCCTGCTCTTCTTTACAGCTATTCCAAATCAAGACAGAGATTTCTGAGCAGAAAAATCTCAGGAAAGTTGCGAACATCATCCTGCTGAGCCAGGTCACAGGGCAGGGAGTGAGAGTGGGCGCAGCTCCTCCATCTGAGACTCTCAGACCACCCACGTGGTGTGCTGCAGGCGCCCAGGGGAAATGACTCTCTGTAACTCAGTGGCCAAGGACTGGGTTTACAAGAGGGTTAGAGACGTCTGGGGAAGACAGTCTCCAGGCACTGGTGTGTCAGTCAGTCCCCTTTCCACGGCAGGTGCCCGAGGGCCTCACCTCGCCTCTGGGTAGGGCTGATCCAGGGGCTGTGCTGACCGCAAAGGGCCAACGTCAGAGGCTGCAGTTACCTCTGGCATCAGGAAGCAGAGTCCTACCTGGCAGCTGAGAGGCACAGCTACATCACAGTCCGGGCTATCTGAGCACAGAACTGTGACCCAAGACACACATGGTAGAGTTCAAACTTGCTCAAACACACATGGGATTTTCCAAAGAACAAAAAAAGACAGTAATTTTAGTCACTTGCACAACTCAGCACTGTCTGTAAAAAGGGAGAAGGTCCTACCTTCATTGTCTAGGGCCAAGAGGAGGGAGAACTGCAGCCCCGCCTATCTTTGTTTTGTGTCTCAGCACCACAGAAAGAAGAGCAGGTGGAACCAGAGCAGGGAGCAGAGCCGCACTCAGAGAAGTAAGGCTTGGTCCTGTCCTTCCACCCTACCCAAGAAGTAACGTGCCCTCGCCTGCCCCAGAGCCAACATGGACGCATACCCAGGACGGCTCTGGGAAGGCCTAACAGGGAGCCTCCTGCGAAGGAAAGCTCCACTGGGGACACTTAATGCAGCTGTGAAAAGCCAGGGGATGGGTGACAGGAATGCAGGAGGGGGCACTGTGTGTGCGGGTGGCACTGCCGGATTTGAAGGTGGAAACGCCAGCTCCAACCTTGGAAGAACTGTTTTACTTTCATGTAGCAGAAGACTCTTTAAGATGACCTTTTCCTTATTGTGCCCAAAGTGATTGGTGGGAAGTGTGGGTGTTAGAGGATAAAGAAACTCCTTGTCCACTTAAGGTCTCTAAACCCTACTGTGGCCTTCAGGGGTCTTGTGGCCTTGGACCCTAGGCTGGGCTGAGAGGGCTAACCTCATGGGGAGTCCACTCAGGAACAAGCCAGTGAGCCTCCTGTAAAATCCCAGACCCTCTTTCTCTGTCATAACACAGTCTGTTTCCAGCTTGCAGAGATTGCCCGAAGGAGGTGGTGGAGACTCGGGACCCAGCTTTATTTATGCACAGGTGAGGAAGTTCCCAATTCTCTCACCTTCCTACCAACAGGAATGAGGATGTACCCAAGGTGAACGGACTGAGCAGGAGACTCCAGGTCAGGAGTCTTGGGAATAAGCCCTGGATGGAAGGAAACCAGAGCTTTTGGAAGTTGGGAGCGGGCAGTGGAGGGGCTGCGGGCCACAAGTGCCCACCTGGGCCCATCCCGCCCAGCCCCCTGTCCCTGCCTGCTCCTGGCTGCAGCCTGTGCCTCCTGTCTCCCACTGCCACCCACCCGGACTCTGTGACAAGGGCACGTTTCATCTATGCTCACGTGGAGTTGTGCCAGGGGAGGTGTGCAAACCAGGAGCTGCTCGAGTTCATCAGCCACAGAGTCACGGGGAGGAAGAGCCCGCTTCCAACACCTGGGCCCTGAGGCTTCCCCCGGCTCCTGTGTCACAGCACCCTCTGCCTCGGTCCTCTGTCCCAACACCAGGGCCTCAGGACCGGTGCAGCTCGGGGAGAATCCCACAGGACACTGTCACACAAGGCTCCCTTCTCTGGAACTCAGACCCTGCCCACCTGCCCTCTTCCCGCTTGTTCCTCTCCTGCTGCTGGGAAACTGACAATGCCCTATTTTTCTTCACCTTGGGCCCACGGCTGTCCCGGTGAGAACCTCCTTCCCACCTCCCGCCACACACTTCATTCCGGGGTGAGCCAAGGCTGGCGGGCACGCTCACCATTCAAAGAGTGCAAACCCTAATCCAGGAGGGAAAAGGAAGGGGTGGCCTACTTGCCAAAGCCGTGAGCCTAGACCTCGCCCTGGCTTCTCCAGGGAACACGGGAAGGGCCCTGAGGGGCAAGCGAGGCACCACCTCGCAGCCCTTGTGCAACATCGGACACCAACCACGGTGGCTCCCTGCCTCCCGTCAGCCGTCTTGCCACCTGGCCTTGGGGGACCCTACAGAGCGGGAACGGAGCCAGCTCTGCCGGGGCCTGGTCTTCCTGCAGGGGGAGAACCTGCTGGCTACGGCCTGGCTCTCTGAGAAGTGCTCCTCTGTGGCACTTCAAGCTGTGAAAGTCCCCCAGCTTCCTTCTCGGCTCGCACTTCATTCTCGGGCTGAAGGCCTCCCGCAGCCTTCAGAGACCCAGCCCTTGACCCACCAAGTGGCCCGACCGCAGCTCTGCACAGCAAACCTGCCCTACTCTGTGCCTCAGGCCCAGACGCAGGCCCCAGACCCACGCTCACCCCCAGACCCCCCACCTTCCTGCCCATCCCAGGTGAAGGCCTGTACAACCACTGGGCCTACACGCCAGCAGGAGGCACAGTCACCTGTCCCAGTGGAAAATCAGCAACTGGCATGGCCTCTGCAGACGCCACCAAAACCCTCGGGCCCTAAGCTCCCAAGAGCGCAGGAACACTCTGCGCAACCCACTCTGAACCTTCCTCAAGGCAGCCAGGCCTCCCAGACCCCCAAGTCTGCCCATCTTCTTCTGGGGGAGTCTAACAGCCCTGAGCTCCAGGAGCCCACAGAGCTAGCCAGGGTAGAGGGCTTCTGGAGAGACGAACACCTGCCCCGCCCTGCCTTCGGGATCCAAACATCCCAGCCAGGGATGCAGCTGCTGGCTAAACTGCCAGGGAAAGGTCAGGGCCAGGCACAGGGCAAGCAGGGGTCACCCACACCCTCAGCTCCTGCTCGTCAAAGCAGCCAAGGGGTGCAGAACATAGGCTCCTGCAGCCATGGCAGAGCCTTGAGGAAGGGCCCCAGAGCCTTCCAACGAGGCCAGCCTGGGGATGCTCTTCAGCAAGCCCTGGAGAGGGACCCCCAGAGTTCAGGAAGGACCTCCCAGAAGGTTCGGGGACATTATGACCAGCATGCAGAGAGGGACCCCATCAAGCCTGACACCTGTGACACAGGTCATCGCTCCTCCATGGGCCCGGGCAGGAAACACCTGGAGAAAAGCCTGCGAGAACACCTGGGCAGGAAGTTGGGGCAGATCCGCGAGGGCATGATCCCCCTGTGTGTGCGCAAGTCCTGGCTTGCTGCCAGCCACAATGTTAACCACTCCAACACCCATGCCACACCCAGAGAGCCAGTCCGCTCCAAGGGTCGTTGGGAAGCCCGTATCAGCACCTCTCAGGAGCTTCCCTTCCTCGACCACAAAACTCACCTGATGCTAGAAGCACACATTAAAAGGTCTTACTTAAAGCACAAATGGGGTCCACACTCCAGACCCTTCAGCCCATAATCATCCTAAGCCTCAGCCTCCTGCCCTTCCATGGCCCACTGCATCGCCAGAGCTGCAACCTGCTTTCCTGCCCCACAAAGCTCCGGGACATGAGCAGGGAAGACGGAAGGCACTTCCCACCCTGCAGGGCCCTCTCCCTGCTTTGTCACCTGCACATAGTTAAGTGCCAAGGGCCTGCAGTGCAACTCCCTTTGGTCCCAACCGGGCCCTCAGAGGCCCACTGGACTAACCACCTCCTCCTTACTGCACCAACCTCTCTTGTACTGATAATTTCTTCCTACTGCCGTGTCTGTGGCTTCCTAATACAAGTTTGTTCTTATTGGAGGGAGTGGCTTCTGTCTGTCCTGTGGGACATGGGAAGGGCTCAGCATCTGCTCTTCTGAGCAGCTTCTAGAAAGCACGGAGCCTTTCGGGAGGGGGGAGTGGCACTGAGGACCCATGGTCATGTCCCTGCCCTGTATCGCTCCTTCAAGGAAGTGTTAAGCACTAGACCATGAGAAATACAGAGCACCGCAAAGCCACTGGGACTGTTCAGCATGACCCAGCTCCACAAGATTCCGGCACAGTGTCGGCTCCACCTGTCCTTCCCCCACTTCTCCCGTGTTGAACAGTGTGCTGATGCGGCAATTCATACACTAAGCCACGATGGGTCCCGGGTGCGACACATCACAATGTTGGGTGCTTAGGGGGGAGGCTAAGGGTTCATAGGCGGCACCATGACACTCGCCTGGATTTCATGGAGTGTAACAGTGACACCTGCCTTGTGACCCCCAGCTCTGCTTCATGGAGGCTGCACAGGTTGGGCCCTGCCAGGCACACACAGGTCAGCCTAGATGACACGGCAGTGTCACCTGCCCCTGCCCCAGTACGGCAGCCAGGATAGAACCTGTAGGCCTGCCAGTGCGGGCACAGGTCAGTGCTGCAGGAGAGCTACAAAGCGCTGCTCCACTCTTACCTCAGCTAGGATGTGTGTGCAGGGACCATCCACAGAGGGGCGTGTGGGAAAAGGGGGAAATATGGGAGAATAATTGTGAAACGTTTAGCAAATGAAGGAGGTAGAGGATGTGTGGATTTCCTCTTGGGAAACTGTCTCTGCCCGCCTAGTGCCATTAACCAGCACGGAAGAAGCAGACATCGCTGGCTGAGCTGCTCACCCGCTTCCCATCTTAGATCTCAGCCCTGAGACCATGGGCTTGGAGAAGCACCTTCGGTGCTAACATGGATCCAAGAACAACCATTGTCGTAGGTGGGAAGATCAATTTCTGAGCAGTATATTTCATAAGCCTGGGGGCCGTCACCTCTTCCGTTCTGCAGGGAACCACTTGAGGATGGCTGGAAGACCCAAGGCCAGGGAATTCTGGAGGTGACTCACAGAGCACCGACTTTTACTCATACAGGGGGCCCCCACTTTTCTCCCAGAGAAGAGGTTAGCACGGAAAATGGCCAAGGGGCTGGCCTAGGTCACAAGAACAAGTTCACATCTTCAGTCCGTGGTTGTCCCACAGACAATCAGGGAAAGAGTCAATAAATCACACGGGTTAAAAACTTAGAGGAGTGAACTGGCTAAATGCAGGAGCTTCATGGATGGGGATGCAGGCCAGCAACAGTCTCAACGGTGCTCCAGCCTACTTCCTGCTGACATGGCCATGTCCCAGGACCCAGCTACAGGGAAAAGCAGGGAGCCTCAACACAAGGAGAAGAATATATTCCTCCTGTCTTGGTCTCTGTGATCAATGACCAGAGAAAAACTATTTCAAGGAGGAAAGATGGGTATCTGACTTTGGTTTCACAGGTTTGAACCCACGGTCATCTGGCTCCAAGCCAGACACACAGTGGAGGTCCTGGTGGAGGACAGTGGCACATCTCATAAAACATAGGAATTGCAGTGGGTGAAAGAGCCACAGAAATGATATCACCTTCAAAGTCCTACCCCCAGTGACCTACTTGTACCAACTAGGGCCCTCCTCCTGAGAGCTCATTCAAGTGTGAATTTACAATCCAATCACCCTTTAGGCATCTCTCAATCTATTCATGTTGACAAGACCAACAGCCCTAGGGAGTCATCACCTCAGAGTGACTTGCTTTGTCACCAGCAGGGTTGCGTATGAACCCCCTCTAGGGGCCTCCATTTGTCCTCAACGGCAATGCCACTGAGGCAGACGACCTGGGGATGGGCCCTGCCCAGTCATCTTCCAGAACCCCAGAGATGGGACTCTACAGATGCTTAGTCACCACTGAGTCCACTCAGGGATCTCACAGGCAGTTTCTGGGTGGGAAAAAGTGAATCTGGAGCCTGGAACCACGAAGGGGAAAAGCTCCACATAGCGTGATGCTGATGGACCAGCCTGAAGCAGAAGGGAGAAAGTTTCTGTCTCTCTTGCCACCTCTGGCCCTGTCCTGCATGAGTGCACTAATACAGCTAGCAACACAGAGAACCCTCAAAGACCTCCATGGAGACCCTCACAGAGACCTCCACAGATACCCACACCCACACCACCAAAGACATCTCCACTGAATCCCTCACACCAATATGTACTGAGAGTGCTCTGAGTCTCCCCTAGATTCCTCCCCAGAGTTCTCAAAGTCCATGACCTAGACCCACACTGAGAGAGAGAGAGAGAGAGAGAGAGAGAGAGAGAGAGACAGGGACCCCAACAAAAACTATCCCAGAGATGGACAGGCACACCCACACAGAGACTTCCAGAGATCCTCAGAGACCTCCACACAGACCCCTTACACAGCTCTACCGAGCCTCACACAAATACAACCCAGCCAAGATCTACCGTAAGACACACACAGAGAATTCCAGGACACACACTGACACTCCCATAGAGGCCCACACTGAGAGACACCCACAGAGACACTTGCCCTGACCTACTTACTTACACAGAGACCCACACTGAGAGAACCCCAAAGAGACCCACATGGAGACTCCCAGGCACACAAACCCTGACCCTCCCACTGAGATTCCGTATGGACACCACTGGGTAACAGACACAGAAATGTCTCCTGGGGACCTCCCTCCGGAATAGAACACCAGCCTCAGCTTCCTCACAAAGGTACTCCAAACACATCCACATGCACCTCCTACAGAGGCCTCTGATGGAGATTCACACCAGGAGAGACCTCAGTGACATCTCACAGTGACCTCACACTGCCATACTGTCCTCACACACA